TTAACTACCACTGCTTTGCTATTTACCCTTTAGGTTCAATTATTGGCCTAATGACCCTTTGGGATCAATTCACAAAGCTTTAACACCAGCCTAAGGCACTCTGACCACTTCATAACTGTGTGTCTAGAGTGAAAATCTGTGTTATGGTCAATCATCAATCTGTCATAGACCTGTGCAAACCTGTTGCAGCTGGCTGTCTAGGATTAACAGATTCATGGGAGGCAAATACACATAAAAATTGCCACATGGACTTTGCTAAAGCCAGGACTGGACAAGATTTGAACTATCTGTGGGCAGGCTGATTGTACCCAATTAGATTTTCATACAACTTGGGAATAACCAGACTGTTGGATTTTTCATGTGATTATTGCCAGAGGCTATAGCAGGTAGCAATGATCACTGTGTTCTCCCTGCCAGGAGGACACAATAGCTCTGCGGGAGGGATTCCCTAGTCAATGCTGACTGTGTTGATGGGGAAGCAAACTATTTTCTTTCCTGCAACAAAAATTGCATTGTCTACGGCCAGCTTAACTGAGAGTTAGAGCTGATTTGCAGCTAATAGTCTTGGTAGTGTAGCGTCACACCCCTGAAGGAGGTGCTTTAATATAGTGGGTCCCTCCTGCCCTGCACCTATAATGACCTGCCCTTACCTGGACCCAAAAACACAGACACACCTAGAAGGTTTAAATGGGGTTTATTTAAAGGCAGAGCTCTAGAAAAGAATGGGTTATTTAACAACAGTTTACAATATAGCAATTTAGGCACCATGTTAAGCAACACAATTCACAGTGTGTCACTTTTCGTTCACCACATCCACCTGCAAAGAAACTGGTGCAAACACGTGGACTAGGTAATCTCTAGAGAGTGATAGCAGCATGTCATGCAGATTAATGACAATCCAGGTTTGGATGACTTTTACAATACCAATGCAGCCTACCTACTGAAGAGATACTCTATCTAACCACTGACCAGTGTGACAATGTAGAGAGTCTGCTGGCAATGAAGCACTTAAAGGCTAAGTTCACCTTTTTTTTTTCTAAATTCCAGTTCCCCTATGTACCAATATCGCCCCGTCTGGGGGCCCGACGCCTGTCGCCCCGCCTGGGGGCCCGACGCCTGTCGCCCCGCCTGGGGGCCCGATGCCGGTCGCCCTGCCCGGGGACCCGATGCCGGTCGCCCCGCCCGGGGGCCCGATGCCTGTTGCCCCGCCCGGGGGCCCGGTGCCTGTTGCCCCGCCCGGGGGCCCGGTGCCTGCTGCTCCGCCCGGGGGCCCGGTGCCTGCTGCTCCGCCCAAGGGCCCGCTGCCTGCTGCTCCGCCCGGGGGCCCGGTGCCTGCTGCCCCGCCTGGGGGCCCGGTGCCTGCTGCTCCGCCTGATGGCCCGCTGCCTGCTGCTTCGCCTGGTAATCCGATGTGCCTCTGCCCGGAGTCCTGCCCGATGTGCCTCTGCCCGGAGTCCTGCCCGATGTGCCTCTGCCCGGAGTCCAGCCCGGTGTGCCTCTGCCCGGAGTCCAGCCCGATGTGCCTCTGCCCGGAGTCCAGCCCGATGTGCCTCTGCCCGGAGTCCAGCCCGATGTGCCTCTGCCCGGAGTCCAGCCCGATGTGCCTCTGCCCGGAGTCCAGCCCGATGTGCCTCTGCCCGGAGTCCAGCCCGATGTGCCCTCTGCCCGGAGTCCAGCCCGATGTGCCTCTGCCCGGAGTCCAGCCCATGATGTGCCTCTGCCCGGAGTCCAGCCCTAATGTGCCTCTGCCCGGAGTCCAGCCCGATGTGTCTCTGCCCGGTGTGCCGCTGCCCGGAGTGCCTCTGCCCGGAGTCCAGCCCAATGTGCCTCTGCCCGGAGTCCAGCCCGATGTGCCTCTGCCCGGAGTCCAGCCCGATGTGCCTCTGCCCGGAGTCCAGCCCGATGTGCCTTTGCCCGGAGTCCTGCCCGATGTGCCTCTGCCTGGTGTGCCCCTGCCCGGAGTCCTGCCCGGTGTGCCAGTCTTTGATATCCCGCCAGTTACCAGACCCGGGCGGTGGAACATTTTGCCCAGCTAGGACTGTTTGGAGCGTCCTGAGGCCGCTCCTTGAGGGGGGGGGTACTGTCAGGAATGGACTGGCCAGCAATAGTGGGACTCAACTGCCTTATGAGCTGCAGTACCAGGGCTGGCCAGCGGGTGCTCCCAGCAATCAGAGACTCAACCTTGCAGCCAGTCAAACACCTGGAACTAATTATACTGGTGTATTTAAGGGACATTCAGACCTGCAGACTCTGCCTTGGTGTTGTGTTTCTCTTGGGCCCTGTATCCTGTTCCTGCTCTCTGTTCCTGTCTGATTCTCTGCTGACCCTGTTCTGATCCCTGGCTTGTCTGACCAGTCTCCTCTGCCTGACCCTCTGTACCACGCTGCCCGCTACCTGCTGAACCTGGCCTGTGACCCCGAACATTCTCCGCTTGCTCCCCCTGTACCTACCTACCCGACTGATATTGACCCGGCCTGCCTGACGACGCTTGCATTGTATGTACTGTTATCTGTGGGTGGTTGGTTGGTTTGTTTGCACTGTGTTATGTTTTAGTATTTCACTGCGTTTATGTTTGTATGGTTAGTGTTAATAAATTACATTGTTTATAACATATCTGAAGTCTGCGTTTCCCTGCGTCAGTCACACACCTCTGGTCATACCTGGGAGCCCTGACAATTGATACCCACTACCTAGATTTTAATAGGGACAGGTGCTTGATTCACAGGGATCCCTGGAGAATATACCACATTTTTTTTCCTTTCGGTGATAGATCTTCTTTAATTCTCCACGAGTAAGAAGTATTCCTTCTCTAGGGGTTGCCTAGGGTTGTTACCCACACCTGACGAAACCTTGGTAATCTGACCAAGGACCTCCACAATTTACCTGAAGTAAGGAGGTGGATGCAAGCTGATCTTGTGACTATGTGGTCAGTTCGTGAGTATGAGAAGTGGACATGAGAGTAATGGGTATAACCTCACTTAGTCAAGTTCCTTCCAAACGTCAACCAGATCTTGGTAAAACAAAATTTTGGCCAATTTAGTTCCAAATTTTGGTGGATATTTTAGTAGGGACTTGTCTTTGCTAGATTTATTAAAGATTAAGCCGAAATCAAGTCAAATATTTAGGGCTGGATCACACCAGATGTAGTCCAGTGCATTTTTAATGTGCATGAAAAATGCATGCACATTATTTTCCATGTATGGTAAGCATATATTGTTTCACAGAAGAGCAGCACAGGAGTATTTTTATTATTAACAGAAGCCTTTCTTTAACATTTCTGAGCCTAGTCACAAGCACAACCTCATTGGGTGCTTAGCCTGTGCTGGCAGGCTTATCGCCGTACTTACCAGAGTAATGGGAAAGTATGTATCATATTGTAAATGTTGCAGAAGTTGATAAATGGAAGAAAACATCTTTGTGCTGACTTTCCACTTATGCCAGAAACTCTTCTATGTAAAGATGGATGGTCATAATTATGTCTCCAGTGATGAGGAAAGCAACAACCTTTGTTCACAGTAAAAAAAACTGAAAGTTTCCTTTGATGAAAAAAGTAAAAAAGATTAAAATGTAAAGACATTAATGTGTGCAGAGCTCCCTAGACACAAATGTACCGAGGCAAAACTAGAGGCTTTTAACCTTTTCCAGCTGCTGCCTTATCGCTCTTAACCCCCCTGGTCACATCAGAGCCGATTTTGAAATTTTGTGCAACTTAAGTGAATTTTAAAATCGGGTGACCTGCCGATTTCTTTGCAGTTTGCAAGACATCTGACACAGATGTCTATGCAAATCGCAACAAAAGTAGTACACGGACTACTTTAGAAATCGGTGTGGCTCTGACCAAGTCAGAACTGCACCGATATGACCTCTCTAATAGCGGACAGTAGGGTGCGACTTTGCATACGATTTTAAAGTCACTTGGCATGCAAATCGCATGCCAAGTCGCACCCGATGTGACCAGGGGCTTAAGAGGTTATAAATGCCAGGAGGCGAAAGTGGGCATTCCAATCATGGGACAGCTGTGATTGGCAGTCACAGTGGTCACATGATCGGAATGCTCCCGATCGCAAGTAGACATCAGTAGCTTTCCAGTACCTGCTAGTAAATGTGCTGGGAGAATACAGGGTGTGCACTATCGGCACAGAAAATGTTTACATTTGGGATGCATATATGCAGCCTCTCAGCACTAAAGCCCACCTGCCAAGAGGCCGCCTATATGCATACAGGTAGTAGGAACAGGTTAAGCTTCAATCCTGGACAGTTGCCATGTAGGACCTATGAAACGTAAACAATTGCTTGTTAATTTAAAGCAGGACTTTACTCTAAAGAGGAAGTTCTGCCTTATGCCCTCCTTCCACATCTACTACTATTGGAACTTTTTTGGGAGGGGGAGTGGGTACCTGGTTTTGACAGGTACCCGCATCCAATTCTGATCAGATCACTGTGGCAATTTCATTGGAAGCTCTCCACCCACCCTTTATCCTCCTGCCCCCAACCCTCTGGAACATAAGCAAAATGCAGCGTGCACATGCACTGTGGGGAGCAGGCTAAGAAGCCACAAGGAACCACAGCTGGCTTCCCAGACACAGCTGGCTTCCCACAGTAAAATTGTTGAGGAACCAAAGACCGGAGAACAACTGACCCAGGTGATGATGGCGCTGGATCCCTGAACAGGTGAGTGTTCCTTTTATTAGAAACCAGCAGCTACAGCATTTGTAGCTGCTGACTTTTAATTTTTATCAAACAAACTGAAGCTCTTCTTTAGGAATTTACACAAGCATCATGTTAAATTTTCAAAAGAGACATATATTATTGTTATTTTGGAACACCTTATCAGGATGATCACGACTCATACTAGTATGTGTATGTATGAATGTAAGATAGGGACCTTAGATTATACGTCCCTTGAGGGTTAGGAACTGATGTAAATGTACAATATATATGTAAAAGCACTGCATAAATTGATACTGCTATATAAGTACCTGTAATAAATAAATAAATAAAATCATTGGATTCATGTGTTCCAATCACCTCCATGGCCACAGGTGTATACAATCAAGCACCTACAGAAGGCATGCAGACTGCTTCTACAAACATTTGTGAAAGAATGGGTCGCTCTTAGGAGCTCAGTGAATTAAAGCATGGTAATGTGATAGGCTGCCACCTGTGCAATAAGTCCATCCGTGAAATTTCCTTGCTACTAAATATTCCACGGTCAATTGTTATGGTATTAAAACAAAGTGGAAGCAACTGGGAACAACAGCAACTCAGCCACTAAGTGGTAGGCCATGTAAAATGACAGAGCGGGATCTGTGCATGCTGAAGCAGACAGTGATCAGAAGTCGCCAGCTGTCTGCAAAGTCAATAGCTAAAGACCTCCAAACTTCATGTGGCCTTCAGATTAGCATAACAACAGTGTGTAGAGAACTTCATGGAATGGGTTTCCATGGCCGAGTAGCTGCATCCAAGTCTTACATCACCAAGTGCAATGCAAAGCGTCAGATGCAGTGGTGTAAAGCACGCCACCACACGACCCTAGAGCAGTGGAGACGTGTTCTTTGGAGTAACTAATCACGCCTCTCTGTCTGGCAATCAGATGGACATGTCTGGGTTTGATGGTTGCCAGGAGAATGGTACTTGCCTGACTGTATTGTGCCAAGTGTAAAGTTTGGTGGAGAGGGGATTTTGGTGTGGGGTTGTTTTTCAGAGGTTGGGCTTGGCCCCTTAGTTCCAACGAAGGGAACTCTTAAGGCGTCAGCATACCAAGACATTTTAGACAAATTCATGCTCCCAGCTTTGTGGGAACAGTTTGGGGATGACCCCTTCCTGTTCCAACATGACTGCGCACCAGTGCACAAAGCAAGGTCCATAAAGACATGGATGAGTGAGTTTGGGGTGGAGGAACTTGATTGGCCTGCAGATAGTCTTGACCTCAATCCAATAGAATACCTTTGGAATGAATTAGAGTGGACACTGCGAGCCAGGCCTTCTCATCCAACATCAGTGCCTGACCTCACAAATGTGCTTCTGGAAGAATGGTCAAACCTTCCCATAGACACACTCCTAAACCTTGTGGACAGCCTTCCTAGAAGAGTTGAAGCTGTTAGCTACAAAGGGTGGGTCAACTCAATATTGAACCCTGTAGACTAAGACTAGGATGCCATTAAAGTTCATGTGCATGTAAAGGCAGGCATCTCAATACTTTTGGCAAGATAGTGTATATAGAGTATTCAGAAACGGTGAATAGGAAATTCTGAAGAAACCAGAAGAATATTTCCAGAAATGTTTAGTTTTCCTTGTGTACTTTTAACTGTGGTGTTTGCCAGGAATGTTACCTCATTCCTTGGCAGTAAGTCATATTTGTTTTATATGTGACCTAAACTCGTGTTTTATCTATGTCCAATTAAATAGAAATTAACTGGTTAAGGGTGATTGAGAATAAGCATGTTTGGGCCTTTCACCTTTTTGAGAAAACTACCAGCGCATCAGCATAGCTGTAGCATTAGTGATTTAAAGCTAAACTCTATGCAAATAAAAACACCAGTTAAAGTGGTTATAAACCCTTACATATATATACCCAGTGAATTAACCGGCCTCAGTTGATGCACAGAAATGAAACAAATCCTCCAACATAAGTTGTACCTGTTTATCTGTGGTCCTCTTTTCTCCACATCCATTCAAATTGCAGAGTTTACCTAGGATCTCTCAGAGCTCTGAGAGCTGAATTGGAGGGAAGGGACACACCCCCCTCCACACAACACACAGGGACAGAGCTGAGGCTGTCAAGCACTAGGTGTGCCCTCCCCTGTCACCATTTTTCTCTTGGTGTCAGGAAAACTCATCAGAAGTGCTTCATACAGATAACAAAGGAACAAGACAGTAGACAGAAATTATACTAAGGTCTCTGAATTGAGACAAGTACACACTGTAGAAGGATATGCTTTGTTCATTATTCATGTCAGAGGTTTGCACCCACTTTAATGCAGTTCTTTCAGCTTTAAAAATGATGTAATCCTCTGTACAGCATTAAACAATTTGGAAGTGGTAGGTACAGAACTAGGGCCAGTCGTTATCTTGGACACATGTGCTGACAATAGATTGACAGAATGAGATAGCCATACTGCGATTATAAAAACATAAACAATTAGGGAATAGAGCCAACATGTTTCAGGGCTAAACCTTGCATGGTTCATCAAGAAAAAGACACAAATACAAAAACATAAACTACAGGTGCATCTCAATAAATTAGAATATCATCAAAAAGTTAAATTATTTCAGTAATTCAATTCAAAAAGTGAAACTCATATATTATATAGATTCATTACACACAGAGTGATATATTTCAAGCATTTTTTTCTTTTAATTTTTATGATTATGGCTAACAGCTAGTGAAAACCCAAAATTCAGTATCTCAGAAAATTAGAATATTGTGAAAAGGTTCAGTATTGTAGACTCATGGGGGTTTATTTACTAAAGATGGAGAGTCCAAAATCAGACTCCCTTCTGCATAGAAACCAATCAGCTTCTAACCTCAGCTTGTTCAATGAAGCTTTGGCAATGAAACCTGGAAGCTGATTGGTTTCTATGCAGAAGGGAGTCTGATTTTGGACTCTCCAGCTTTAGTAAATAAACCCCATGGTGTCACACTCTAATCATCTAATTAACTCAAATCACCTGTAAAGATCTCCTGAGTCTTTAAATGGTCTTTCAGTCTGGTTCCGTAGGTTACACAATCATGAGGAAAACTGCTGACTTGATAGTTGTCCAGAAGACAGTCATTGACACCCTCCACAAGGAGGGTAATGCAGGCCATAGATGGGGAGAAAAACTGCAGATTTTTCTTTTAAAAAACGAAAAATCGGTTGTTCAAGTGGCCGACGTTACCATCAATGGTAAAAAAAATCGGCCGATTTTCTACCCGTCTAGAGCCGGCAAAAAGTGTCCCTGCAGAGAGCTCTGCTATTTCTTTGACAGTTCTCTGACAGTTCCTTGACATTTATAGAAGTTGCAACAATGTATCTATTTGTTTCCATTTAGGATACAGATGTTTTTATTCGGAAACAAATAGATACAATGTTTCAACCGCTGTAAATGTCAAGGAACTGTCAGAGAACTGTCAGAAATAGCGGAGCTCTCTGCAGAGACACTTTGCTGGACTGGAATTCTTCTTATTTTCATCCTACTTCTTCTTCTTCTTCTTCTTCATCCTCTTCTTCTTCTTCTTCTTCATCCTCATCCTCTTCTTCTTCTTCTTCATCCTCATCCTCTTCTTCTTCTTCTTCTTCTTCTTCTTCTTCATCCTCATCCTCTTCTTCATCCTCATCCTCTTCTTCTTCTTCTTCTTCATCCTCATCCTCTTCTTCATCCTCATCCTCTTCTCCTTCATCATCCTCATCCTCTTCTTCTTCTTCTTCTTCTTCATCCTCATCTTCTTCTGCATCCTCATCCTATTCTTCTTCTTCATCATCATCCTCATCCTCTTCTTCTTCCTCATCATCCTCATCCTCTTCTTCTTCCTCATCCTCCTCTTCTTCTTCTTCTTCATCCTCATCCTCTTCTTCATCCTCATCCTCTTCTTCTTCATCCTCATCATCCTCATCCTCTTCTTCTTCTTCATCCTCATCCTCTTCTTCATCTTCTTCTTCTTCATCCTCATCTTCTTCCTCATCCTCATCTTCTTCCTCATCCTCTTCTTCTTCCTCATCCTCTTCTTCTTCCTCATCCTCATCTCTTCTTCTTCTTCATCATCCTCATCCTCTTCTTCATCATCATCCTCATCCTCTTCTTCTTCTTCATCCTCTTCTTCTTCATCCTCATCTTCTTCATCCTCTTCTTCTTCCTCTTCTTCTTCTTCATCGTCTTCCTCTTCTTCTTTTTCTTCTTTTTGTCTTCCTCTTGCAGGTCACTGCTCATGCGCAGATTTTTTATCGGTAAAAAATCGGCCGATTTGCCCACTAATTGCCGCGAAAATCGGCCGATCGGCAAAATCGGCCGATTTTTTTCCAACTTTACCGAAAAAAAAAAACGGCCAAAATACCGAAAAACGGCCGACCAAATCGCCCACTAACGATCCGAAAATCGGCCGATTTTATTTTTGGCCGAAAAATCGGCCGATTTTCGACCCATCTATGGCCTGCATAAGTCGCAAAAGGTGATTGCTAAAGAAGCTGGCTGTTCACAGAGTGCTGTATCCAAGCATATTAACGGAAAGTTGAGTGGAAGGAAAAAGTGTAGTTAAAAAAAGGTGCACAAGCAACAGGGAAAACCAAAGCCTTGAGGGGATTGTGAAGCTGTTGCTCAGTGGTTCAAAGTCCTCTTTTCTGATAAAAGTAAAGTTTGCATTTAATTTGGAAATCAAGGTCTCAGAGTCTGGAGGAAGATTAGAGAGGCACAGAATCCAAGTTGCAGTGTGAGGTTTCCATAGTCAGTGATGATCTGGGAAGCCATGTCGTCTTCTGGTGTTGGTCCACTGTGTTTTATGAAGTCCAAGGTCAGCGCAGCCATCTACCAGGAAATTCTAGAGCACTTCATGTTTCCCTCTGCTGACCAGCTTTATGGAGATGCTGATTTCATTTTCCAGCAGGACTTGGCACCTGCCCACACTGCCAAACTACCAATACCTGGTTTAATGATAATGGTATTACTGTGTTTGATTGGTCAGCAAACTTGCCTGACCTAAACCTCATAGAGAATCTGTGGGGTATTGTCAAGAGGAAGATGAGAGAGAGGCACCAGACCCAATAATGCAGACCAGTTAAAGGCCGCTATCAAAGCAACCTGGGCTCCGATAACACCTCAGCAGTGCCACAGGCTGATCGTCTCCAAGCCACGCTGCATTGATACAGTAATTCATGCAAAAGGAGCCCCGACCAAGTATTACTTGCATACTATACTGTACATGGACTTACTTTTCAGTAAGACAACATTTCTGTATTAAAAATCCTTTTTTTATTGGTCTTGCATAATATTCTAATTTTTTTGAGATACTGAATTTTGGGTTTTCACTAGCTGTAAGCCATAATCATCAAAGTAAAAAGAAAGAAATGCTTGCAATATATCACTCTGCATGTAATAAATCTATATATTTTATGAGGTTCACTTTTTGAAATTAATTACTGAAATAAATTACCTTTTTGATGATTTTCTAATTTATTGAGATGCACCTGTAAATCAACTTGCATTATGCAATAAAACAACCTAATAAACAGATCACTGGATTTTAATGCATCTAATATAAAAAAGTTTTCCTAAGTGAAAATAATATAATACATGATAATATTCTCATTATATTTTATGATGTGGCCATGTACTATCATATTATTTATGATATTTCAGGAATGGTGAGAAATATAAATCATTTGGCAGATAAAACAATTATGTTATGTGCCTTTTCAACTGTATGCTTATCTGTTTTTCATCTTTTATAAAAACAGAAAAATGACATTGTATGAGAAATTTATAACAGTCAGGAATATTGTAATTGTGAATAGAGGTTCTGGTACTATTGATACTATATCCATCTTGCATTTTTTTCTTATTACCTTAAATAAATTTGGGAAAATAGCCATTGCTTGTTATAATGATTTTCTCAAACACATGCTTTTTTAGCTGTAAACTATGTTTACTAGTTCAGATGGGATGAGATGTCTGTTTCCTATCAGATGA